TTTATGGGCTTTATTTTATATTAAATTTTGATTGTTTTATTCGTTATATGAACACTAAGAAGGGTGTTTAGTTAATTAATTCATACTTTCAAGGGTGAAAGTGAGACTTCTTTAGAGTGTTTTCACAGGGTTTCTGAATTTTTGGGTCGTTTATTTACGTATGATAATTTCAGTAAAAGGCTAATTTTGCTTTTTTTTGTCTACTATTTTTTAGGCAGGGTTCACGCTGTTGGTTTGAAGAGGATGTCAATCTCTGTCACTTTTTATTAATGTGTTCTGTCCACCAGGGGATGAAGAACATGTAGTATTCTGTCCCATCTTTCTAGGTGCTGCTGACTAGCTGTGAGGTTGGACAGTCCGCCCCTCCTCCCTTCACCGTGTCCGACAACGCAGCTAGCAAGGAGACAGATACTTTGACTGATGGTACTTTTCTCCATCTCCAAGAACCTGCCCAAGATGAGCTCCTCACCAGGAATGAAAGGGTAGAGGGGATTGTCAACTAAAATGTTTCGGGCAAGTGGGCCAATGCTTGGACACTAAGAAAAGTGCAGTTTGCCAAAACAGACATCTCCTTACTAGCTTTGTTTTCGGATGGCAGTGGAGGGGGGAGGGATGCCCTGTCCAACCTCACATGTAGCTTTTTAGACAGCACATTGGAAGATGGGAGAAAGGACTCCATGTAGTTGTCCCCTGGGGAACAGAACACATTAATACAAATGAAAGTGGACTAACTCCTTTAACCAATGGGCTTCTCCTTTAATATATGTTGGCACGCGTTTTGCCGGGTAACAATGTGCATTGAGTAAAGACATCCCATTCATTTAAATAGGCTACCTAAAGCACTAAAACACCCTAAAATAGATGAATGTACTCTATGATGTTAAAGTGTTATTAATGTGTTACTAAACCCTGCACCCAGCATTCATTATATCCGGTCTCCCCGGACCCCGCATTCACTATATCTGGTCTCCCAGGACCCTGAATTCACTATATCTGCTATCCCCGGACCCTGCATTCACTATATCCGGTCTCCCCGGACCCTGCATTCACTATATCCTGTCTCCCCAGACCCTGAATTCACTATATCTGCTATCCCCGGACCCTGCATTAACTATATCCGGTCTCCCCGGACCCTGCATTCACTATATCCGGTCTCCCCGGACCCTGCATTCACTATACCTGATCTCCCCGGACTCTGCATTCACTATATCCGCTCTCCCCCCCCGGACCCTGCATTCACTATAACCAGTCTCCCCAGACTCTGTATTCACTATATCCCTTCCCGGACCCTGTATTCACTATATCTGGTCTCCCCGGACCCTGCATTCACTATATCTGGTCTCCCCGGACCCTGCATTCACTATATCCGGTCTCCCCGGACCCTGCATTCACTATATCCGGTCTCCCCTGGACCCTGCATTCACTATATCCGGTCTCCCCGGACCCTGCATTCACTATATCCGCTCTCCCCGGACCCTGCATTCACTATATCCGCTCTCCCCGACCCTGCATTCACTATATCCGCTCTCCCCGGACCCTGCATTCACCATATCCGCTCTCCCCGGACCCTGCATTCACTATATCCGCTCTCCCCGGACCCTGCATTCACTATATCCGGTCTCCCCGGACCCTGCATTCACTATATCTGGTCTCCCCGGACCCTGCATTCACTATATCCGCTCTCCCCCGGACCCTGCATTCACTATATCCGCTCTCCCCGGACCCTGCATTCACTATATCCGCTCTCCCCGGACCCTGCATTCACTATATCCGGTCTCCCCGGACCCTGCATTCACTATATCTGGTCTCCCCGGACCCTGCATTCACTATATCTGGTCCCCCTGGACCCTGCATTCACTATATCCGCTCTCCCCGGACCCTGCATTCACTATATCCGCTCTCCCCGGACACTGCATTCACTATATCTGCTCTCCCCGGACCCTGTATTCACTATATCTGGTCTCCCCGGACCCTGCATTCACTATATCTGGTCTCCCACAGTACACACAACATGGAAATGCAATTATTTTAGTAAATATAAACTGATAAATACCTTTTCTCATCAGCAGTATATAACAGTCTTGTGACTTCTATCAGTGTCCAGCAGAGCACTGGTTAAAGCTTGTAGGAGGTGTTTTCATTCTCCTCTGATTGTCCTATGAGGCTGCAGGACCCCTGACCCTCTGTCTGGACAGCACTGATTGGTCCTGTGATGATCACATGCACTCTTCCAAGAAAAAAACCTCTCTAGCAATATGCACCAAACTGAGCATGTGCAGCTTGCCCCAAAGGCTCTGTTCTATCAGCAGATATACTGGGGACAATAGAAGAAGGAGAGGATCAGAGAAGACAGGATCAAACATCCTTTTTACACAATGCAAAGTTTTCACCCCTTAGGTTCCACAGTGAGTATAACAAGCATGCTTTACTACATATACAGACTGATTGTACAGCTGTGGGTTTAGTAACACTTTACCCACTTCAATAACGGGCACCCCTTCCTGCCCAGGCCAATTTTCAGCTTTCAGCGCTGTCGCACGTTGAATGACAATTGGGTGGTCCTGCAACACTGTACCCATATGAAATTTTTATAATTTGTTTTTCACACAAATAAAGCTTTCTTTTGGTGGTATTTAATCATCACGGCTGAGTTTTTTTTTTTTAATATTTTGCCAAAAAAAAAAAAATTTAGAAAAAAAATGTTTTTCCTTTGTTTCTGTTATAAAATTTTGCAAATAAATAGCCTTTCTTCATACAATTAGGTCAAAATATATTCTGCTACATTTCTTAGGTGAAATTAACCCAAATCAGTGTTTATTATTTAGTCTGTAAGAAAGTTATAGAGTCCACAAAATATGGGCTATATATATCTGACAATCAAATGAATCAATGCTGATGTACTGATGGCTTATCTAATTTCTTAAGGCCCGAAAACACAAGGACGGTACAAATACCGCCCACATGACTGCTTTTTGGAAAGTAGAGAGTCTATTGTATTTAGTAAGAGGCATGGCGAGTTTTTGGAAGTTATAACTTTTTTGTCACAATTTTTTGGAAAATGAAGAAATAAAAAAAAAAAAGTTCACAATTTTTTTTAACATATTGTCACTAGTCCAATACAGCGTTATCATAGAACTACTCATATATCTAGAGACATCTGCAGACATAGCAGCATTGCCTGGAAGGGCAGAGTGCCCCCTCCAGGTTGGACTAATCCTCTCCTGGAAAAGGAGCTCAGTGTGATCACTGAATATATACAGTCCCCCAGCATGCCATTAGAGTCAGGCTCTCTGGGATAGGCCGGGGCTGAATCAATGTTCATGCTGTTATCTGCATAGCTCCACACTTATCATCCAGAAACCTCTGCAGATCTCTGGATGCAGAGGGAGCTATAAGACTGGCAGTAGCTGAATACACTGAGCAGAATGCAGCTTCATTGAATAGACTGAGCAAACTATCAAAACAAAAACACATACTAAATCTATCTATCTAAACCTAGAACCTATCTAGGAGGGCAATAGATAGATGGATAGATAGATAGATAGATAGATAGATAGATAGATAGATAGATAGATAGATAGATAGATAGATAGATAGATAGGGATGGGTGGGTGGATGGATGGATGGATATATAAATAGATAGAGATAAATAGATAGATAGATAGATAGATAGATAGATAGATAGATAGATAGATAGGGATGGGTGGGTGGATGGATGGGTGGATGGATGGATGGATGGATATATAAATAGATAGATAGATAGATAGATAGATAGATAGATAGGATGGATGGATATATAAATAGATAGATAAATAGATAGATAGATAGATAGATAATAGATAGATAGATAATAGATAGATAGATGATAGATAGATAGATAGATAGTTAGATAGATAGATAGATAATAGATATATAGATAGATAGATAGATAGATAGATAGATAGATAGATAGATAGATAAATAATAGATAGATGGATGGATGGATGGATAGGGCCATGGGGGAATATATAGAGAGAGTGTGTGGAGAGATATACACTATATTGCCAAAAGTATTGGGGCCCCTGCCTTTCCACGCACATGAACTTTAATGGCTTCCCAGTCTTAGGCTGGCCATACACTATGCAATTTTCTGTTCAATTTCTGCCCAATTTCCTTTAGATTTACCTTCAACTATGTAGCGCAGGGACCTGCCTAATTGGATACAATTAAAAGATTTGTTAAGTTTAACCTCCTATTATATGGTTTTTGATAAATCTAAACCAAAAATCTCAAGAATATTGTATAACGTATGGCCAGCCTTAGTCCGTAGGGTTCAATATTGAGTTGGCCCCGCCCTTTGCAGCTATAACAGCTTCAACTCTTCTGGGAAGGCCGTCCACAAGGTTTAGGAGGGTGTCTATGGGAAGGTTGGACCATTCTTCCAGAAGCACATTTGTCAGGTCAGGCACTGATGTCGGGGGAGGAGGCCTGGCTCGCAGTCTGTGCTCTAACTCATCCCAAAGGTGTTCTATGGGGTTGAGGTCAGGACTCTGTGCAGGACAGTCAAGTTCCTCCACCTCAAACTCACTCCTCCATGTCTTTATGGACCTTGCTTTGTGCACTGGTGGGCAGTCATGTTGGAACAGGAAGGGGCCATCCTCAAACTCTTCCCACAAAGTTGGGAGCATGAAATTGTCCAAAGGATTTGTATTGCTCTCCATCCAGTTCTGTGATTTACACAGCTCTGCTCACACAGCACAGACCTGTCTAGCAGAGAGGGGACCTAAAACCTGCTGGATCAAGGAATACGGTAAGTAATATGGTTTCTTCCTCTACACCTTAGAGTTAACAAGTATTCAACTCTTGTGTTGTATTGGGGGGGGGGTGGAATCACTGCAAGGGTTTTTTTTTTTCCATCTCAGATTTTGTCTTTAATATCCGCCTGGATTTCAGTGTTAAAATTCCTTAAAATTTAAAAGTACCTGTATTTCTTTCATCAGGAATGTGTGTTGTCTGGGATCATGTCCGTGAATGGCAAAAGAGTTTTGCATATAGATCAGAACAACTACTATGGGGGAGAAACGGCATCAATCACACCTCTAGAAGAGGTAGGTTCTTCATAATCATCCTTATCCTAAGGTTTCAGTGGAAGCTATTCATGAAACACACCTGGTTATTCTCAATCTGTTATCTATCTATCTATCTATCTATCTATCTATCTATCTATCTATCTATCTATCTATCCATCTATCTATTTCTATCTATCTATCTATCTATCTATCTATCTATCTATCTATCTATCTATCTGACTATAGGAGATTTTAGAAGTCATATATATTCTCCTCTCCTCCTCAGCTTTATCGAAGATTTGATGTGATTGGTCCTCCAGAGCCAATGGGCAGAGGTAGAGAGTGGAATGTAGATCTGGTCCCCAAGTTTCTTATGGCCAATGGTAAGGAAATATGATGTAGAATGGAGCAAACTCTGTTGTCTGACCTTCAAGGCATCATCAGAGGTCCCTGATAGCATTCATTCGAAAAGCATTTCTCGACCTTTTTAACCTAGAGAAAACATTGAAATAATTTTCAGGTCTCAGGGAAGCTCTGCTTAAGCTGATTGACCAGGGGTCAGTGGGAAAAGTGAAACTTACTTTGGAGGCCATTGGATAAAATGCCCCCTTTGGGGCATGGCCGGATCTAGGGAGGTGCTTGAGTTGGCTATGACCCCCCCTCAAGATTTTAGTTGTGCCCCCCCAAAGCCAACCCTAACCTGACACTGTACTGCCCTAACCTGACACTATAAAGCTACTATACTGTCCTAATCTGCGACTATACTACCCTGACCCGCCACCATGCTTCCCAGTCTAACACTATACCACCCTAATCAGATACTTTACTGTCCTAGCCTGACACTATACTGCCTTTGATTGACACTATACTGATCTCAGTTATGCGTTGTGTGATAAGGAGGAGTTCTGCTGCCTGTGCCCAGGCTGTGTGCAGTACAGGGATGGGAGAAGGAGCTGTGCCCCTGTCCTCTGCCCTACCTGCAGTGACCCCTATCTTCTGCCCTGCCACCAGTGACCCCTGTCGTCTGCCGTGCCAGCAGTGACCCCTGTCCTCCGCCCTGCCAGCAGTGACCCCTGTCCTCTGCCCTGCCACCAGTGACCCCTGTCTTCTGCCCTGCCAGTAGTGACCCCTGTCCTCTGCCCTGCCACCAGTGACCCCTGTCTTCTGCCCTGCCAGCAGTGACCCCTTTCCCCTGCCCTGCCAGCAGTGACCCATGTCCTCTGCCCTGCCACCAGTGACCCTTGTCTTCTGCCCTGCCACCAGTGACCCCTGTCTTCTGCCCTGCCACCAGTGACCCCTGTCTTCTGCCCTGCCACCAGTGACCCCTGTCTTCTGCCCTGCCAGCAGTGACTCCTGTCCTCTGTCCTACCAGCAGTGACCCCTGTCTTCTGCCCTGCCAGCAGTGACCCCTGTCTTCTGCCCTGCCAGCAGTGACCCCTTTCCCCTGCCCTGCCAGCAGTGACCCATGTCCTCTGCCCTGCCACCAGTGACCCCTGTCTTCTGCCCTGCCACCAGTGACCCCTGTCTTCTGCCCTGCCACCAGTGACCCCTGTCTTCTGCCCTGCCAGCAGTGACTCCTGTCCTCTGTCCTGCCACCAGTGACCCCTGTCTTCTGCCCTGCCAGCAGTGACCCCTTTTCTCTGCCCTGCCACCAGTGACCCCTGTCTTCTGCCCTGCCACCAGTGACCCCTGTCTTCTGCCCTGCCACCAGTGACCCCTGTCTTCTGCCCTGCCACCAGTGACCCCTGTCTTCTGCCCTGCCAGCAGTGACCCCTGTTCTCTGCCCTGCTAGCAGTGACCCATGTCCTCTGCCCTGCCAGCAGTGACTCCTGTCTACTGCCCTGCCAGCAATGACCCCTGACTTAGCCCTGCTGACTGCCCATTCTCTACTCCCCTGACATTTTTTACTGCACCCCCACATTGGACAGGCTAAATCCGGCCCTGCTTTAGGGTGGTAGTCAGAATAAAGCTAAAAAAACTATTGGTGCCATGCCACTGGCTCTGCCATGTGGCATTGGCTGCAAAATCCAGAAACCATCAAATGGGAAGTCAGTCAGCCACAGTTCAAGGAGTTCCAAGCGACCTCAGAAGGAACCCTGGAGCTCATGGAACCCTGGTTGAGAATGACTGCATTAGAAGGAACTTGTTAAGACAGCAATATATGCACTATTGCTGGGGAGGCGGAGGGGGGGGGGGCAGAGGTTACCGGAAGGATGGCAGTTGCTGTCTCGTCGTCTTTCATTGCGAGGGGCAAGGACACATACCATGGTCAAACCACATACCATATGTGGTGATGGTGGTTGGGGGTTTAATCAGAAACTGGTGGATGATTCTTGATTGCTTTACCTCTATGCGTTTGGCTTTTCTTCTGCTCCTGTTAGGACAGCTGGTGAAGATACTTTTATACACCGAAGTGACCCGATATATTGATTTTAAAGTAGTTGATGGAAGCTTCGTGTACAAATCTGGACGCATCCACAAGGTACCCTGCACAGAGGAAGAGGCACTGGTCTCAGGTAAGTGGGCATCTTCAGAAAAGTGTGATACCTTCTCTATTTGCATTGTGTTTTTTTTCACCACACAAAAAAAAAAAATGGATACTGTAGTTACATGCTGGGGTTGATTTACTAAAACTGGAGAGTGCAAAATATGGTGCGGCTCTGCACAGAAACCAATCAGCTTCCAGGTCAAAGCTTAATTGAACAAGCTGACGTTAGAAGCTAGTTGACTATTTGGCTAGTTGACCATGCACAGCTGCACCAGACTTTGCACTCTCCAGTTTTAGTAAATTAATCCCAATGAGTCCATAAAAAAACCTTTCTTCACTTGGCACATTTGAAAGATATTGGCATCCATGGCCACTTTTTCGTTATTGACCTCTGCCGTTTTTTTACACATCTAGACTTATTAGGCATGTTTGAAAAAAGACGTTTCCGCAAGTTCCTACTCTTTGTGGTCAACTTAAATGAACACGACGTCAAGACCCACCAAGATATAGATCCCAGGAGGATGACTATGCGTGAAGTGTACCGGAAATTTGACCTCGGCCCCGACGTCATTTCATTTACTGGACATGCTCTGGCCTTGTACAGGAACGAAGAGTAAGTCATTTTAATTTTAATGGGGGTGACATGAAAGATTGAGTAAAAGGCTGTGTTCAATTTCACCCTACTCCCAACAGGATTGCAAATCCAGGCAAACAGCTAAATACACAGTTTAAATTCATATATGCAAAGGTGTGGGCGGGAGAGAGCCCGGGTGGTAGGCCCCCCGGAGGAAAGGAACGACACACAGGGGTCTGAAGTTGCAAGAAATGTACAGTATTGTGAAGAATGGTCCAACTGCACAGTCTATGCAAAGGCTTAAAATTAGCAGCAAAACTCATAATGATTGTACAGTACTTGCAGAGAGTGATGCTCAGAGACCGACAGCATCTGGTGCAGGAGGCGGCTGGTAGGCAGTATGCAGTGAAGAGCTAGTAGCAGAAAGGTTCCACACAGCAGCACTAGCGAACAGTCCCTATGCTGTCCCTACTCCTCTGGAACCTTTCCTTTATGCACACTCTCCCTGTCCCTGACCTAACCACACGTACAATGAGCGCCAACTGCAGTGAACCAGTGTTTTTGTATAAGCAGTGCCCTCATTAAAGATGGCCATAGGGGTCATCCGGGGCAGCAGCGTCCAATCGAACAGCTGCTCACCCGATGACAAGTGCGGAGGCCTAAGAGGAATGTCCATTCCCCACTCTTCCTATGTGGTGGTTGCAACAGTGCCACCTTTGCAGAGAGGGAAATATCTCCCCCTTCACCTCCCAGTGCCTGAAACATGCCTGTACGCAGGGGTGGACTGACCATTTGGGCCTGAGGGCCCAGGGTCAGTAGGGGGCCCCATGAGATGCCCCTAGTACCTTTCATAGGTTTTTTTGGGTGTGGTTTGAGTGTGGGTGAGGACACAGGGGACCCATGATCCCCTTTTGCCCCTGGGCCCCATGAGTTGTAGGTCCGTCCCTGCCTGTACGACAGCACTGTACTATATAATGGAGCCTTATTGACTGCAAGTGCAGAACTTCCCACTCCCAGCCTGATTACTGCTTTGTAGGGCATTTTGGTAAGATCATATAAGGAAGGGCAGTTTTTTAAGATATATTTACTGCTTTCTATAACTTCTACACCTGACCATCACACCACTATATGGCCAAACGTATGTGGACATCCCTCAAATTTTTTTAGTTCTGGTGTCTTCATTGAAAACTACTGTTTGTACTACAATGTACAAAGACATTTTAGACAATTGTGTGCTTCCAACCTTGTGGTAACTTTTCGGTTCCAGTATGACTGTACCCCTGTGTACAAAGCCAGATCCATAAAGACATGGATGGATACGTTAGGTGTTGAGGAATCCATGTGGCCAGCACAGAGTTCTGACCTCAACCCTACTGAACACCTTCAGGTTGAATTAGAACGTTGGTTGTGAGCTAGGTCTTCTCATCCAACATCAGAACTTGACCCCACAAATGTTCTTTTGACAGAATGGACACAAATTCCCCCAGACACCCTCCAAAATCTTGTAGATAGCCTTCTCAGAAAAGTAGAGGCAAAGAGGGACCAACTCCATAATAATGGCAATTGTTTTAGAATGGGATGTTCAACCAGCTCATATAGGTGTGATGTTCTGGTATCCCCAAAACGTTTGGCCATGCAGCTTAGCAATGTCATTCATTAGCACAGAGGACCTTTCTAATATGCATAGCTACCTCATTTTAGCCATTAATCAATATTTCGAAAATTTTATCAGTACATTTTTTCCTTTTCTGCAGCTACTTGGATCAGCCATGTCTGGAAACCATAAACCGAATTAAGTTATACTATGAGTCCCTAATTAAATACAGTAAAAGCCCATACCTGTACCCTCTCTATGGTCTGGGGGAGCTGCCACAGGGATTTGCCAGGTAAGAACATTTCATCTTCTCTTTTATTTTCTGTGAAAATTTTTTAAAATAATTATGCTAATAATAGGGCTGTTTTGGTACAAGAACTGGTTCAGGATAGCTTTAAAGGAAAGGATTTTTTTCAACCCACAAAAGCCATGTAATCTCATTGCACCCTTAAAAAAACACAAAAACTACCTGCACATTGTACTGTGATGTTAAAACCTTACAAGTACAGAAAAATACCTGGTTACCCATTCAGAAATCCAGTGAACTTTTAACTTGGAACACCCCTCTAGGTAGCCAGGGGGCGTTAGTAGCTAATTTTTAGTTAGAAAGGCTGAGCAGCAGCCTGGGGAATAGTCAGCAGGGTCAAATTTGTGTCAGGGCTGAGAGGCTCTGCAAATTAGTACCTTGATACCTCCCCCTACTCTAGAATCTAGAGACGATTCTAGGAGCAGTGGGCAGGGCTGAGGAGGGGCTGATCTGCATACTTAGGGGATCCTGACCAATCCCCAGGCAGGAGGCTTGGCATGGGGTCAGGACAGCCCCTAAGTATGACTGAGCCTGCTCAGCAGCAGGACAGTTCGGGTGGAACATGTGAGGAAGGCTGATATGCAGGAGCCTGGGAGGGGGTCCAGTGGGAAGGGGCCTACTGTCAAGGTCCTACCTTTTCCCAGAGGTTATGCTGCTCCATGTGCTGGCATCCATCTTGGGTTTCTGCAAAGCATGGTGGGAGCCTTTTATGCTTTCAGGCCTCTGCGGTCCATCCCCCAGAGGGGTGTGGTTAATCACATTTAAGCCTGTTGCCTGCTCTTGCTCTTTGCATTCGTGTCTTGTATGATAGTGCTGTTGCAAGCTCTTGTTCTACTCTAGTGGCTCTCCTGGAAACTGACTCGGCTTTGTCTAAGACTATTCTCAGCCTTATCCCTTTATCTGACCTCCCATTGCTGAACCCGGCTTGTGACCCGTGTATTCTTGTCTACCGCTCTGTACTGTCTGTCCCGCTGTTATCGACCAGGCCTGTCCGACTACGCTATTGTTATCTGGTTCCTACCAGCTATACGCCATTGGCAACGACCATTACCGCAGCTGAGTTTACTCGGGGGCCGCGACCTGGTCCCTGGTTGCGTCAAGTCCATCCCCACCATCAGGGGCCCTGGTGAAAGGCAGCCTGGGGCTTAGACTCCGCGCCCTGAAGGACTCCGGTCTGTGGGTGGTGGTTGTCATCAGTCGGTGCGTGACCCTGCCATTAGGCCTGCCTGTCCATTCCTCAGCTTCTGCCCTGACACCTACCTGCAGGCTGTGACCTGGACAGGAGGATTGCTCAGCCTCACCAGTCCCTGGACAGAGGACTACCTGGGCAGCCAGGAAAAGAGTCAGCCCAGCAGAAGGCCTGAAGGCAGCTACCAACCTAAACCAGCTCACAGGAAAGAGGCTGAGTGTGTAATACTACACCCCCCTAGGCCAGCTAAAGGGTGGAAACCTGATTAGCTCCTTACCAGGGACTGTTCATTTTAAAGAGGCAGGCACTCCCCTCCCCCTCCCCCTCCCCCAGGGATTCCTCCAGACAGCTGGGTAAAGAAGAGGATTTATCTAGGGTCTAGGTTGGTACACCAGGAGAGGCTGGAGAGCTCTCCCAGAAGAGTTTTGATGAAAAAAGATTTGAATATAGTTGACGGGAAGTTGACCTCAGTTTAAAGTTCCTTGGGCATCCCATGTATCCCTTAACCCCATCCAAGTTTTATTACCCCTAATAACATCCCAAAAAAAAACAAGCTCGAGGACTGTTTACTGTCTCTGGAATGCAAGTCCGTGTTGCCTTGTTTTGCAGGACTATAGGGGGACCCAAATCTCTAGTGACTCCTAAGGGGTTAGTACAGCAAACTCTATTTTGAAGGTTGACAACACTGCCTCTGGTGTACCGGAATCCCTTGTCAGCCCTGCCGAGTTCTCCCCTGCTGGACTACAGAACTCTGCCTATACCACATCCCTCCCTGTCCCTCTATACATTGATTTGTTTTCCAACAACTTAATGCCACACCCCTGACTCCCAAGAGCCTGCCTGTGTGCTGGCATGCGATGTGAGATGTAGTTAGGGGGAGTGTCTGGGCTGACTAACAACTCATAGGGCCCCCAGGCAATAGGGGATCATGGGGCCACTGTATCCTCACCCACACTCAAACCACACCCAAAAAAGCCTATGAAAGGTACCAGGGGCATCTCATGGGGCCCCCTACTGACCCTGGGCCTTCAGGCAGTGCCCGAGTTCCTGAATGGTCAGTCCGCCTCTGGGTGTGTCTATCTCAATAGAATCTGACCACCCAGAAGCTGCCTCCGCACACATTTTACAAGCCTGGTGGTGGTATTACAGGGCTTGATAAAAGCTGGTTTATACTACAGACACAAGGTAAAGAAAATAAAATAATGCTGGAACATGATCTAGAGAAGCAAAGAAAGTTTTAGAGGAGACTTGTCTATACAAATCATTAAATGTCACATTTATCTCTTCTAGGCTGAGCGCTCTGTATGGAGGAATCTATATGCTCAACAAACCCGTAGACGAGATCTTAATGGAAAAGGGGAAAGTAGTTGGTGTACGGTCTGAAGGAGAGGTAAGAATGTGCCATCACCTTTGTATGATTGTGTTATCCCCTTTTTTCTGCTCATCCTTTGGGGTCTGATGGAAGGCAACCAAATGTGAGAAATGCATAGGTTTCTATTGCAGGTTTCCTTCTGAAAATGTTAGTCATAAGTTGCATATGGAAGATTTGTAGAATGGTCTGTCATGGATCAGCCTCTCAACCTTTTTACCCCAGAGAAACCCTAAATATATTTTTTATGGTCTCAGGATAACCTCTGCTTAAAGTGGAACTTCGCCCTCTCAGTCAACATTGATTATTTTTAATCCTTATGCTGCTAGCATTAGTAAATAGGAAGGTATGTCATATTTACTTGTTTTAAACTTTTTTTTTTTTTTTACATTTCTTCAGTTACTTCCAGATTTCCAGGCCTAGGCAAATTATATCATACGTCCCAGGAGTCTTCAGGAGGGGAGGAGGGGTGTCAGGGATCCGGGTATGACCAGAAATGTGTCGACTGACACAGGGAAGTAGCAGGCTTCAGGAACACAGGCGTAGTCAGGGCTGGAGAGGTGGAATGGTCAGGCGGGCCGTAAGGCACTGTCAGGCACCGCCCGGTGGAATCTCTAGTGACCCACAGACCAGGATTCCCCAGGGCGCGGAGTCTAAGCCCCAGTCTGCCTTTTCACCAGAACCCCTGATGGTGGGGATGGACTTGGCGCAGGACTGAGACCAGGTCGCGGCCCCTGAGTGCACCCAACTGTGGTAGAGGGGTCCACCGAGGGTATGTACCGGGGGGAAAGCCTGATGTGAAGGGGCTGGCAGGTATGGACAGTAGTGACTGGATCTGTGCGGGATGGATCGTCTGGGTAGCATCAGGCGTAGTCAGGCAGGCCAGGTCAGCAACGTGCGGGCAGCGAGGTACCGGAGGAGCAGGCAGAGAATAGTCAGGGTCACAAGCCGGGTTCAGTAACTCACGGGCAGCACGGTACAGAGGATCAGGCAGAAGGATGGTCAGGCAAGCCAGGGGTTCAACAGGAGACGGTCAGCAGAGGTCAGGATCAAAGGAGGGTCAGCAACTAGGCAGGAACACAGGATACCAGGTACAGGGGCTCATGGGAAACATACACCAAGGCCCTGATCACAGGCCTGGTCATTCCTTAAATACACCTCCTGCAATCAGCCCCAGCTGTTGGCTGACTGCAGGAGTGAGCTTCTGGCTGCTGAGAGCACCCGCTGGCCAGCCCTGGTACTGCAGCCCACATGGCAGGTGAGTCCCACCACCAATGGTGAATCCATTCCTGACAAGGGGTTTTCCTAGCTAAGCACACCCTCCTGCTGACATACCCTGAGCTAAGGGCAAATGGATTCCAGGAAGTAAATGCTACATGAATCTTCTGCCTTTTCTCAAGATGGCCACAGCCACAAATGCTAGAGGGTGTGTTTCAAAATGATTTCTCATGGATGGATGGGGGAATTTGTTTAAAATATTAAAAATGAATTAATCAGCGTTTTTGGTTTGTGGTGCTTAGATGCAGTTCAGCTTTAAATATTTTTATCTGGGGATTTTGGGCAGGATACCCTTTACAATGGTGGTCAGTAGGAAGAATGCCCCCCCTCAAAATTGTGGTGAAAATGCCACTCTTACAGACAGCTAAAAACATCATTGGTGCCCAGGGGCGGACTGACAACTCATGGGGCCCCCGGGCAATAGGGGATCATGGGGCCCCTGTGTCCTTGCTCAAAAACTCAAAAAAGCCTATGCAAAAGGTACCAGGGGCATCTCATGGGGCCCCCTACTGAACCCGGGCCCTCGGGCAGTGCCCGAGTTTCCAAATGGTCAGTCCGCCCCTGTTGGTGCTATAAGACTGGCACTGCCAAGTGGCTTTGGACCCAGGAATTATGCAGGCAGAGGTTGTTAGGGGTTCCTTGAGTTGTGACTGACCTCCTGAGCAAAAATTTGGGAGGTCAGCCACAACTCAAGGAACCACTAGCAACCTCTGGAGGAACCGTAAGGTTCCATGGAACCCTGGTTGAGAATGGCTATCATAGACTATTCTACAACCCTATGCCCCTCAAAGGAATCCAAGAAAATGTTTTTTTTTTACGGCAAATCAGATTTTTTTTTTTTCCATCCATAAAGGAAGGGATTCTTTATGGTAAAAATGGATAAAGCAAACCTGTCCTTTGCCTATCCGGTTAGATTGCAGTCTGTGTCTCTACATGGACCCATGCGGTCACAAGGCCCAAGCAACTACTGTACTTGCTTTTTAAAAGGCTTTTTTTAACTTTTGCTCAAAAATATACACTGTGAACCAGGGGCGGACTGACCACTGGGGAACTCGGGCACTGCCCAAGGGCCCGGGGTCAGTAGGGCGCCCCATGAGATGTCCCTGGTACCTTTAATAGACTTTTTTGGGTGCGGTTTGAGTGTGGGTAAGGACACAGGGGGCCCCATGATCCCCTATTGCCCGGGGGCCCCATGAGTTGTCAGTCCACCCCTGCTGTGAACTTATAGTCAGTTTAGTAGGCTTGAGTGGGAACCGAGACGAGGACTCCAGTAATATTTGTCACCAGGGCCCTGTGGTCTTTTTATTTTCATTTGTATTACTTCTGGTGAAAGTTGACAATGTCGGTTCTTCCCTTACAGATCGCTCACTGTAAACAGCTCATCTGTGACCCCAGTTATGTTCCCGATCAAGTAAAGAAAGTTGGTCAAGTGATAAGAGTCATTTGCATCCTCAGCCATCCAATCAGGAACACCAATGAGTGCACATCTTGCCAAATCATCATCCCCCAGACGCAGGTCAACAGGAAATCAGGTCAGACAGAGCACATACCTACGTTATAAAGTGCCTATCACCTTAGAGTGACCCCGCCACTAGGGTGAAATAATTAATCCAGAAGCACCCTGTAACAGAGATTAGGAGGTTAAAGTAGGTTAATTTTACTCACTTTTCTGGGAGGCTCCAATCTTTGCTCTGTTGAAGAGCTATGGTGGCCACTTGCATCCAAGACTTCCTGTAAGGACATAGCCGCCAGTAGGTGGAGCCACATTACACAGAGGATTTAGCTTCTGACACACCTGGAAGTGTCGGCTACCTGCAAAAACTAGTTCTTGAACAGAAGGGAGATTTTCATCACTGCTCCCCGTGCTGTAAATCTAACTACTTTTATTGTATGGGGTACATGTGGCTTAAAGCCCATCTCTGAGAAAATGTTGTGCCTCCCTGTCCCTCCTTCTCACCCTCCCCCCATCCATTTACATGCCTTTTTTTTTTTCAAAAACCCTGACCAACAACTTTTACTATCGGAGTCTGCCACCACATACCCTTGCTGGTGCCACTTCTTGAAGTAAAGACCGGTGATTCAGCCCTGAAGCCAGGGATGAACGGTCCTGTCGTTGTGACGTTATCCTGCACCAAAGTCTTCTGAGACTTCAAAGACTCAGGATATGGTGTGTCACATGACCATAGATTTGAACAAGTAAAGGGGGCTTTTAGGTATTTTTTTCCTTTTTTATACGACTATTAGTTAGATGAAGGGGAAGGGCTTTGATAGCAATTTATTTCCCTTAACTGCCATGTGTGGGTGGTCCCTACTTATATGGAAGCAAGGTCTGTGCAGGATCAACCTTGCAAAGTAGATGTGATGAGTGGTCCCTCCAAATTTAGAGGTGGGGATCTGGGCAGGACCAACCTGTAAATTGACTATACTCAGAAAAAGGGCATCGACAGATGCAAACAGCAGGTGGGATTAACATTTTTTTTGGAATCTGGGACCACAGTGTTGGCAGGTATGTGACACCCATCATCTTGGTACGAAGTAAGAATTTCACTCATTAGGAGATACCAAAAAAACATGGTAAAGTCCAATTAAAAATATTAGATGATTAAAATCAGAACTCTGAGCAAAAATTTGATTTCACCATGCAGCGGGACTGTTTCCCCCACTGCATAGGTCAACTGTGCTCTTTATTTTTTTCAAGGGGTGAGCACAAAGCTCATACTCACCTGATCCGCTGATGCTTCGTAAAACTACGCTCCCCCATGGTTCAGTGGTGGACTGTTCCTGTCTATAGAGTGTGCATTGAGCATGCTGACATCAGGAACAGTCCATTTACAGAACGCTGGACTGCAGGGGGGCAGGGGATCAGCTTGTGTGGGTAGGAAGGGGTAAGTATATCAGCTGTCTTAGTGTGCAGGGCAGGTACAGGCATGCACAGGCAAACATTTTTTTTGGAGTTTTTCTTTAGGTATGCCATCTATTTATAACTTTTGCCAATAATAAGAAAGGTTCTACCAGGGGCGGACTGACAACTCATGGGGCCCCCAGGCAAAAGGGGATCACCCCTGGAAACTCAAAAAAGCCATGAAAAAGGTACCAGGAGCATCTCATGGGGCCTCCTACTGACCCTGGGCCCTCAGGCAGTGCCCGAGTTTCCAAATGGTCAGTCCGCCCCTGGTTCCTACATTGAATACAAAGTTGTTCGTCCATATTACAGAATTCCATAAAAAGAGGCTTCTTCCTCTTCCCTGAATAATATTGCTATACATTACCTGCAAAGCATTGATTTAAAATGAGAAATCTTTACCGCTACGCCATCTCCCATAGGATACACATTCTCAAAGGACGACTATAAATATGATTTGTTATATTAATTAATCTATGGGCTTGTCTTCCAAAACTGGCCACAACAGATCCGCTGCAGCCCATCCTCTCTAGAGTGTTCCCATGTATTATTTATAGCAGGGGGTGATTATAACTGCAATCTGTCGTATATTTCTCCTGGCTCAGATATCTACGTGTGCATGGTTTCTTGTTCGCACTGCGTGGCATCAGACGGGAAGTATGTCGCTATAATTAGCACGACGGTAGAAACTGAGAATCCGGAGAGTGAAATCCAGCCGGCGCTAGAACTCCTGGAACCCATTGATCAGAAGTAAGTGGAACCGCTAGGGCAATGGGGCTCATTCGGGGATAAGTGTTTATTATGGAGCCAGTAGACCTGCAATGTTGGGAGCCCTAAGTAACACACCTCTGCTAGGGTCACCTATATTACATATAACTTGATTTCCTGACTCCAACCTGGCTTAGAATGTTGTGACAACGTGCAAAGAACTGTACATGAGAAGACTATTCCTACCAGTGATGGAACATGTGCCCAATATGCTATATATAGGGAAAATCCACCTCATGGTCACTGCTGCCTTTAGGCAGATGCCTACTGTGCCTAATGCTACAATGGGCTCATTGTGTACATGGAGGAAACAAAACACCGGTGTATTTAGGTTTACAGTTTACAAAATATATACAGTTTTATATATATATATATATGTGTGTGTATATACCTTGTATATATATATATATTATTATTATACAGGATTTATAAAGTGCCAATAGTTCGCTCAGCGCTGTACATTACAAAGGGGGACAGAACATGTGACAGAACAATACCAATACAATGCAAAACATGAGGGGATCGAGGGCCCTGCTCTTTCGAGCTTACAATCTAGGAGGGAGGGGTATATATATATATACATGTGTGTATGTATATATACAGTATATATATAAAATCAGAATCTGAATCAGCTATGTTAGCCAGCATACAAGGGTACAAGGAATTTGACAGCAGTTCAAGGTTTAAAAGTTTGAAACTACTTTTGGTGTAATTTGATAAACATGTATGCATATGTATGCACCCAGCCACCCCCACAAACATACCCACACCCATTTAGATAACAATGCAATGTGTCATACACCCGCTTTCTATATACTGTGTGTATATATATATAAAACCTAAAACATGAGAAGGTATCTGTTATTGCATTCATTAGGCAGAAAAGCCTCTTTAGTGTGCCTCTCTGATTTAGTTCTTAGGTACTTTGTTATTATGGCCAGACTTTTGCTGACTTAAAGTGTTACTAAACCCCGGACCCTGCATTCACTATATCCAGTCTCCCCGGACCCTGCATTCACTATATGCGGTCTCACCGGACCCTGAATTCACTGTATGTGGTCTCCCTGGACCCTGCATTCACTATATCCAGTCTCCCCGGACCCTGCATTCACTATATGCGGTCTCCCTGGACCCTGCATTCACTATATCCGGTCTCCCTGGACCCTGCATTCACTATATCCAGTCTCCCCGGACCCTGCATTCACTATATGCGGTCTCCCTGGACCCTGAATTCACTATATGTGGTCTCCCTGGACCCTGCATTTACTATATCCAGTCTCCCCGGACCCTGCATTCACTATATGCGGTCTCCCTGGACCCTGCATTCACTATATACGGTCTCCCTGGACCCTGTATTCACTATATCCAGTCTCCCCGGACCCTGCATTCACTATATGCGGTCTCCCTGGACCCTGAATTCACTATATGTGGTCTCCCTGGACCCTGCATTCACTATATGCGGTCTCCCTGGACCCTGCATTCACTATATGCGGTCTCCCTGGACCCTGCATTCACTATATGCGGTCTCCCTGGACCCTGCATTCACTATATGCGGTCTCCCTGGACCCTGCATTCACTATATCTGGTCTCCCCAGACCCTGCATTCACTATATCCAGTCTCCCTGGACCCGGCATTCACTATATTTGGTCTCCCCGGACCCTGCATTCACTATATCTACTCTCCTGGACCTGCATTCACTATATCCGCTCTCCCCGGACCCTGCATTCACTATATCCAGTCTCCCAGGACTCTGCATTCACTATATCTGCTTTCCCCGAACCCCGCATTCACTATATCTGGTCTCCCCGGACCCTGCATTCACTATATCCAGTCTCCCTGGACCCGGCATTCACTATATTTGGTCTCCCCGGACCCTGCATTCACTATATCTGCTCTCCCTGGACCTGCATTCACTATATCCGCTCTCCCTGGACCCTGCATTCACTATATCCAGTCTCCCAGGACTCTGCATTCACTATAACTGCTCTCCCAGAACCCTACATTCCCTATATCTGGTCTCCCTGGACCCTGCATTCACTATATCTGGTCTCTCCAGACCCTGTATTCACTATATCTGATCTCTCTGGACCTGCATTCACTATATCCAGTCTCCCAGGACCCTGCATTCACTATATCTGTTCTCCCCGCACCCTGCATTCATTATATCCGGTCTCCCCGGACCCCGCATTCACTATATCCGGTCTCCCCAGACCCTGTATTCACTATATCCGGTCTCCCCGGACCCTGCATTCACTATATCCGCTCTCCCTGGACCCTGCATTCACTATATCTGGTCTCCCCGGACCCTGCATTCACTATATCTGGTCTCCCACAGTACACAGAACATGGAAATGCAATTATTTTAGTAAATATAAACTGCTAAATACCTTCTCTCATCAGCAGTATATAGCAGTCTTGTGACTATCAGTGTCCAGCAAAGCACTGGTTAAAGCTTGTAGGAGGAGTTTTCATTTCCTGTCACTGTCCTATGAAACTGACCCTCTGTCTGGACAGTGCTGATCGGCCCTGTGCTGGTCACATGCACTCTCGCAAGAAACAAAAAAAAACCTCTCTAGCAATACACTCCAAACTGAGCATATGCAGCTTGTCCCCAAGGCTCTGTTCTATCAGGAGATAAGTCAGGGACAGTCAAAGAAGGGGAGGATCAGAGAAGAAAGGATCCAACAGCCTTTTTACACAATGTAGAGGATTAACCCCTTAGGTTCCACAGCAAGTATAACAAGCACGCTTTACTGCATATACAGACTGATTGTACTGCTGTGGGTTTAGTAACACTTTAATGAATATGTACAGCATATCAGAGGCGCTGGATTCAACTTGTAATAAGCTCATTAGCAGGACATCCATACATCAGACATGATATCACCCAGAAGCCATATTTATAATTGCAGTGAAAGAGAAAAGAACAACGCCTCAAAGTGTAGACTTTTTAGAATTTTAATGGTGAATAAAGTAGGCAACTCACATAACTTAGTAGAATAATAGGCTCATTATGAAAGTATCGGTGAAGGGACCACCATTCCATGAGGGGTGGACGCTGGAGTAATCCGGGGGTGCAGTTGACAAGGAATGAGGATGCTGGTCGGCACCTCTGCTGTTGCGAGATGGTAGCTGGAATGTAGCCCTGGGATACAACGTCTGGCGTAATGACGTTACTGAGGATGTGCAACGTGTTTCTGAGAAGATGATGGGCAGGTGCGCTCCTTTCTCAAGCTAAAGCTACGTTTGCCATGGTGAGGCAAACTAAAGTTTGAGAAAGGAGCGCGTCTGTCCATCACGGACATTGCGCATTCTCAGAAACACGTCACACATCTTCAGGGACGTCATTACGCCAGACATTGTGTCTCAGGGCTTGGGTTCCAGCTACCATCTCGGAACAGCAGAGGTGCCAGCCAGCTGCCTTGTTCCTTGTTAACTGCACCCCCTGGTCACTCCAGGATCCACCCCTTGTGTAATGGCGGTCCCTTCACCGATACTTTCATGAACAGCCTAGTGTTCTACTATGCAATGTGAGTTGCCTACTTTGTCCGCCGTTAAAATCCTAAAAAGTCTACACTTAGAGGCGCTGTTTTTTCTCTTTCATTACATGTCTCAGAGCCAGCTTCTGCTTTTATATACGGCCTGCCATTAGTGGATGGACTTTTTACCATGACAACCATTCTACTAGACGTAACGTATATATCTGTTCATATGGACTTTGAACTGTTTGAGCTTTTCACCAGTGCTCCATGCATCTAATTTTACCCTCTACTACATATTTATAATTGCCCGTGTTGTGGCCTGTTCGTACCAACTGCCGCTTTACAACACAGTGGTTGGTGTGCAGTGCAATGCAGCAGGATAACTGCAGTGCTGATTATGGCGCATCGCACTGTTCACTTTTTTTTTTTAATGAACTTTATGAAATGTCACACAGTGACACGGTGAATTGATTCACACTGCGCTGCACAGGAAAAAAAAAATGACCTGACATACTTTTTCCAGCACACGCCGCCCACCTAGTGGCGTCCCGAGGCAGGTGTGGGGGGTGCTCGCCGCACCGGGTGACACCTACTGCACGGGGTGACACCGGACCCGCTCCACGAAAAGGTAAGTTGTAAAGCAAGCCGACGATCCCCGCAAGATGGATCAGATCTGCGATTGAGCATAATGGATCAGAGTCCGATCCATTATGCTCCCCAATGCGCAGATCCGATTTATCCTGCGGGGATCGTCGGCTTGCTTTACAACTTACCTTTTCGTGGAGCGGGTCCGGTGTCACCCCGTATAGGTTGCACGCCGACGATCCCCGCAAGATGGATCGGATCTGCAGATTGGGGAGCATAATAGATCAGACTCCAATCCATTATGCTCAATCCGCAGATCTGATCCATTCTGCGGGGATCGTCGGATTGGGTGTCACCAAGTGTTATCGCACCGGGTGACACCAACCCTAGAGACGCCCCTGTGCCCACCCACTACTGCAACCCCACATAGGAGACAAGGCATTTTGCCTTGCCTTGTGGTGGGACTGGGATGAAGCAGATACCCAACGCAGTTCCACCCAGGGGCGGACTGACAACTCATGGGGCCCCCGGGCAAAGGAACTTATGGGGCCCGTGTCCTTGCCCACTCTCAAACCACACCCACAAAAGCCTATGAAGGGTACCAAGGGCATCTCATGGGGTCATTACTGACCCTGGGCCCTCGGGCAGTGCCTGAGTGCCTAAATGGTCAGTCCGCCACTGGTCCCACCACACCTGATGTGAACAACCCCTTTTGTCTGAGTTTGTATAACCTATTAGAAAGTCAGAAAAATTAATGAATTTTTTTTTTCAGGTTCGTCTCCATTAATAACCTGTATGTCCCAAAGCATGATGGAACAAAGAACCAGGTGAGAGCCCCCCTGTGTAAATGTATTTTCATCTACATGGACGTATTTGCAGAATTTTGGTCATTGTTTATGTAGCACTACCCTCTTAGGA